GAACACGTCAGCATCAAGTTCACAAGCGATTAAAAAACCCAGCGGCGGAATCATCTAATCAAAGGAATTGTGGGCAAAAAGCAAATTCTAAACATAGTTTCCAGGTCAACCCAATATTCTAACCAATAATCCATGATAAGGGGTTATTGAAAGAATAGCTTTTTACATTTTAGGACAAAATGCCGGATGAGTGCGAAAAAACTTAAGCCCTTACCATTACGAAAATTGTTTGATGCGGGCTGGACTGCATTTCTATACATGCGGTCCACAAAGTGTAAAGCTTCCATGGATCCATGGATGCAAGTAGGTGTTCCATCTAAAAACAATGGAAACTAATGGTCCAAATGTTTTCTATCTAGAATTATTATTTTAAATTTTTAAAATTTATTTGTTTATTTATATTCATGATCTCTATGTTGGAGATTACATATCCTTAAAAATTAAGTCTTAAAATCCATCTCAAAAATAGATTTATTAAGAGACCTGCATTTCTACATATGTGGGCTTGGCCGCATAGAAACCTGGTCCTTACAATTAAAGGATTTTATGTTAAGAAAATTGTTTCATGTGTTGGGAGGGGGGGGGGGGGATGCATTGCTACATTCCCCCCGAGGAATAAAGCATCCATCTTAAAGATGGATGCAAATGGGTGGTCTATCTAAACACAAGTGTAACTAGCGGTCCAAATATTTTCTTCGTAAAATTATTATTTTTAGTTTCTAAAATTTATTTATTTATTCATATTCATGATCTCTATTTTAGATAATACATATTCTTAAAAATTGGGTCCGAAAATCCATCTCAAAAATAAATTTTTAAGAGGGGATTCATTTCTACATGAACTCGTAGAAACCGTGTCCTTCATATTATGAAACTATTCATCTTTAGTACAAGGAGGTCACATAATTTCCTAGCCATTAGACGTTTAATTGGATAGCTTGGGGTATCCAAAAAAAAATTTCATTAGCCTTTGAGTCTAGTAAAAAATATATTTATAACTATCCAATTTAAAATATCATGAACAAAAGTAGCTATGGCCTCCTTATAATAAATATAAAGTGCGCATAGTACCTCCAAAATAGAATAGCAAAATGAAGAAAGACACTTACGCTGTAAATATAGGTCAACAGACGAACATCCCATTTCAATGTCCAAGCGCTCTGTTCTTCAAAGATAAAGGCGATCCCAGCCGTTGGAATTATTGCCATGAAGCACATCAGTGCAGTAAGGGTTAACTGAGCTGGATAATTCTTGAATGCCCATGCCTGAAAAACCAGTAACAAAATCCGAAAAATAGAAAATAAAGTTCACCCATTCCTAAAATGTAGAAGGATTTCTAACCGGAGACTAAAGACCGACGGTTTTAGCAGCACCAATAATAGTAGTGAATGTGTATTGGTGGTGACAAAAGGAAATGAATGGTTTATGCAGAGTAGAGAAAAATTCAGAAACTTTTGAAGGATTAAGCAGAAAAAATATAACAAAAACAAAAGCTTCAAAAAGTCGTGATATAAAGAGTAAAGTTTTATCAGTGGTAAAAGAAAAGGAAAAGGACAAGATTTAGCAGATGTAGTCACAAACTGGTGAAGGTTTAGGAGGTGGTGATTAGCGTTCGGAAACACGACTCCGCCATTGGAGCAGAGTAACTCGGACTCGTTTAGCAGAGAGTCTGGCCAAGCGAAAAAGTATTAAAAAACTAAAGAAGTAATAAAAATTCAAAATAATGGGAAAGATATATTTAAAGTAAAAACAAACCACACCTAAATGATATAAAAAACGTAGTGAAAAGATGGAATTTGAAAACATCAATTTGTGAGAGCGGTATTTTAGAAATAATCCAAAAACAATGGAAAATCTTAAAATAAGTATTCATAGTTAAAACTCTTTTTAATCTTTGCTAATATGATAGAAAACATAAACAAAAACATATTACAAACAAATTTTTTATTTTTCTTCATATAATTGTTTTAAAATCCCAAAATTAGACCACCTATATAGAATTCGACTCGAACCCGCTAGGGTAGTGAATCCGAGTTGGACCGCCCGAGTTGAGTTTTGAAAAAGAGGTGATGATAAAAAGGTGAAGGTTTTATCAGCCCTGAGCAATGACCTGATAATTGAGCCATGCAGACCAGGCCAAAACGCTGGCCAAAATAAAGATTGGGCCCAAAGTCCAGTTACTTTGAGGGGAGGACGGGTGGATCGCATCCATGAGAGAGACAAGAAGGAAGTTAGCCTTGAGCCCTCTTAGGATTACAATGGAAGGACCCTTTACAAGCGTCACTATCATGGCACCCCCAACACATGTCAATGTCCCCAAAACTTTTGCCCTCCCTCTTATACCCCTTACATCAAGTCTCTCCAACCTAAAACAGTAGAGAGAAAATTTGTATAAGTTTAGAGAGAGAAAATCACAAATATCTCCAATCTACAGTGAGAGAGAGGAATGAGCACCATATTACAGAAAGATTTATCAAATTTGATTGAGTTAATTGACATTAAGAGAGAGAATGTTATACATAAAGAATTTTAAGAGAAATTTAGAGAGAAAATTCAGTTATTTTCAAAGTTTGGAAAGATCTTACCTTAAGAGCAACGCCACAACAAAAGTGATGGCTGGAATGAGGTTCGCTATGGTGGAAACGAAGGTGGAACTGGTGTAGTAGAGAGCAGTGAAATAGCAGTTTTGATTAATGGCCATCCTGCAAATTTTTCAGAAATCCACTCTTCTGAGTAGATGCTATAAACCCACTTGCATGCACACAAAAAAACCAGATAAATTATTGGATTTTACCCTAAGCAAGCAAGAATGAAGATCCCACCGGCTGTTCTGAGGTTTAATGGAGGCCTCTTGTCTCTGTAATTCATGGTCCAAGCATTAATGGAGCCAAAACACTAAACAACTAAAGAATATGCAACAAGACATAGAGAGATAAAAGAGAGTACTTTTCTATAAAGTAAGCCAAGGGGGCTAGAACCAAAGTGGCAGTAATGGTTCTGTAAGCTACGAGGACTAAGGGGCTCATTCCTTCTGTAAATGCCACTTTGGTCATCAAATATAGCCCTGCAAGGGAGAACTGAACCATGAGTTGTGCCATAACAGGCAAGTACTCCTCCATTATCATCTCTCTCTTCTCAAGCCTTCTATGAGTTTAATCTGGCGAATATGATCTCCTTTCTCTTCAAATTCTCGACTGGGTTTCTCTCTTTGCTCAGTTCCAATACCAATAGAACAGTCTCTTCCCCTCTCCTCAATCCTTTATACAATGAAATCTTCTCTCTCCTCAAATGAATGGTCTCACTTTCTCTGCCCTCCCCTGACGAGGACTTCCCATTCATTTCTCCCGTGTAATAAGATTTGATCTCTCTCTCTCTCTCTGGCTCTGGTACGGGTGGGGAAATTGGTTTCTTACGGACTCTAGCATTTTAGATAAAATATAAAATCTTTCAATTTTAAGCATATATTACAAAAACGGTCAATCAACACGTCCTCCTTTTTCTTTTTCTTGTTTCTTTTTTTTTTTAAAAATTACCTCTCGATTAACTCTCTCTCGGTTACTTTTAGTCTTTTTAGTAGTAGAGCTATGCATTAAAGCTTGGGCCACTGCTTTACCAACAAAACAACTTTAAAAATAAAAAATAAGTAATCAAATTTTGGGTTAATCCATAGGCAATTTTGAATAGAAAACAAAAAAAGTGGAATTAATTACTTTATTTATAATTTTCACCTATAAACTAAACATTTTGTAGTTGTAATTTTTACCTATGAACGAAATATTTTGTATTCTACCAAAATTTTTACGGTCCGTAATCCATTGGGGATGGGTGGTGAAATTGGTTTAACCCTCTCTTATTTCTCTCTAGAATCTTCTATCAGAGAAAATGTGTTGTGAAAATTTGTTGGACTTTCTCAAACATGTTAGGTGCAAATTTAAAGGAAAAATTTTAATATAAAATTGCAATTTTATACTTCAGTAAAAGATTATCTCAAGAATTTAGCACAAAAGAGTATTTTTTGGATTTGGATAATGTTTCAATTGGTGATCTCAACGTCATGGATTTAAGGAAAGAAAAGAATATGAAGTCTTGAAAATAGACTCAATCTATACTATTTTAAAAATTGAGTGATTTACATGCGGATCTTAAAATGTCTTTTAAAGTACAAAGACACTACAAAAAAAAGTTAATCAACCTACTTTTTTTAATTTTTTCAAAATTACCCTTAAGTTTGAGGATAGAATTTTCGATCCAAAATTTATTTTTTCTTAAAAAAAATTAGTAGGCAATTCCCTACTAACAAAAACGCTATTAAAAAATAATAAAATTCAATCCAAGGATGTCCTAGCATAGAGGGGCAATTTTCAAAAAAAAAAAAACAATAGGGTGACCGACTTTCTTTATAATTTCTACTTAAGGTACATCAGTCATTCCTTTAAAATTTCAAATTCCATAATTAGGATTTAACTTAGATTTTGAAGCCATTTCCGTATTGTATACGGGGGGCACCTCATACAAACCTCAACCAAAGTTAAAAAGGGCACGTACGCCCTCGTGGCCAGCTACTCACCAGCTTCTCTCGCACATGAAGTTTCTTAACGGAGTTTTCATCTCATTTATTATCGGGGATCTGCAGCCAACAACCCTTCCGGATCTATGAAAAATCAACCGCTTATATTCGATTCCACGTCACTGAAAGAAAGTAGGGACCCGTCATTTAATGTGCCATAAACAACAAAACAAAGTCCGACTCTCAATCATTGTAGACTTTTTATTTAACTTTACAAAAATAGAATCTTGAGCTTTTTTATTTATGGGGTGCCTTCAAATAATATCGGGAAATGTAGTTTTAATAATGAAAATCTTAGTGATAGCTTTAAAATATATTATTATATTTAATTATAAAATTTAAAACTTAAAAATAGTGTAGATCAAACATATGTAAAAAATTTAAAAATTTTGAAAATTGTCGATTTAAAAATACATTACAAGATGCATTATTTTAAAAACTTGAAATCGATTTTTTCTCAATCATGTTCATGCATCTTAATGTTGAGATGATTAATTTGCGGATATTTGGGCATCAAAACAATCTCTCTTAGTGAAATTTTTGAAGTTGGCTTTAATTTGATTGTTAGTCCTTCAAAAAATTTAAAAACATTCAACTTTCAAAAAAACATCTTTCATAAAAACAAATGCACCCTAGGGCTTGTTTGGATAGGAGGAAATTAGGAATCTAAGATATTTGAAATCCAATGAAATTTATGGATTTTTAATATCAAAGGATTTTTGCCATGGAAATCTCTCGTTTTGATGAACTATACAAAATTCATGGATTCCTTACAATCACTGCCATGTCCATTGTTTGGTAACAAAACTTGATACAGTTTCTCTCTCTAAAATTTTAATACTATCTAAAACTCAAAATATGGGATAATGCATCTATAAAAAAATTGATATAGTTTCTCTCTCTAAAATTTGATATGGTTTCTCTGTCTAAAATTTAATATAGTTTTTCTATCAAAAACTTAAAATTTGAAATTGTTTCTCTAAAACTTTTAAGATAGTTTATCTCTCTACAATTTTTAGGTTCAATTTCTCTCTCTACAATTATTAGGTTCTTTCTCTCTCTAAAATTTAATATCGTTTTTCTTTCTAAAATTTTAAAATACTCTCTCTCTCTCTAAAACTTGAAATAGTTCCCCTCTTCAATAATTTTGAGATAGTTTCTCTCTCTAAATATTTTTAAGTAATGTCTCTCTCTAAAATATGACATAGTTTTTCTCTCAAATTTTAAGATACTTTCTCTCTCTAAAGTTAAAATTTGAGATATTTCTTTTTAAAAATTTTGCGATAGTTTCTCTTTCTAAAGATTTTTATATGCTTTTTCTCTCTAAAACTTGATATAGTTACTCTCTTAAATTTCATATGGTTATTCTCTTAAATTTTAATATGTTTTATCTCCCTAAAATTTCAAGTTTGAGATAATTTCTCTCTCTAAAATTTTGAGATAGTTTCACTCTTTAATATTTGATATAGTGTCTCTCTAAAATTTGATATATTTTCTCTCTAAAGTTTAAAATTTGAGATACTTTCTCTCTTTAAAACTTAAAATTTGATATTTCTCTCTCTAAAATTTGTTGAGATAGTTTCTCTCTACAACTTAATATTTGATATAGTTTCTCCCTCTAAAAATTTTGAGATAGTTTCTATCTCTAAAACTTTTTAGGTACTTTATCTAAAATTTGATATAGTTTCTCTCTTTAAAATTTAAAATTTAAGATAGCTTCTCTCTCTAAAATTTTTGAAATAGTTTCTTTCTCTAAAAATTTGAGATAGTTTATCTCTTTAAAACATGATAGTTTCTCTCTAAAACTTAAAATTTGAGATAGTTTATCTCTCTAAAACTTTGAGATGGGTTATCTCTCGAAAATATTTTGGTATTTTTTCTCTAAAATTTTAGCATACTCTCCCTCTAAAATTATAACATACTTTCTCTCTCTAAAAGTGAAAATTTGAGATAGTTTCTCTCTCTAAAAACTTTGAGATGGTTTCTCTATTTAAAAAAAGGGTGTGGTTTTACAAGGTGGCAACGTAAAACAATCCAATTAAGGCACACTTATAGAAACCTTAAACAATCCAATTAAAGCACACCTCCAAACTGTATCAGAACATGTTACGAGAAAAAAATTATTAGGATCATCTCAAAATCTATTTTTATATCTAATTGTAAAATTATCTATCAAGTATCAACATATGAAAATCTTAAAAATTGACTGTCTAGATAATGTATTACAAGATGTACTATTTTTGGGATTCAAAATCTCTTTTTTTTTTCCGCTATTCATACATCTCGATGTCGAGATGACCAATTAGTAATTTTTTCAACATTAAAATAACATTTTTTGATGGATATTTTTGAGATGCATCTGTAATTCTGTATTTTATGATTGCAACCTTATATAAAATTTTTCCTTAAAAAAATTTAGGGACTTTCTCTCTCTAAAATTTTCATACCTACCAAATGTTGCTTGTGTTTCAGGTAGAGAGAGCCAATGAGTAAAATCCATAGGCCTTGAAAATTCAAAAAAACAGGTTTTGGTGTGGAAATGAAATCATGAAAAAGTAAGTCTTATTTCTATGATTTTGATTGTCTTGATTTTAAGTATCCTAGTCATTAAGCAATCCAAATGCTAAATTTTGGCAATATCCAAGATATTAAAAATCCATTTCTTAAAATCCAAGTAAGAAAATTTCTTAAAGCTTCCAAGTGATTAAGGCAAGGAGATCCATTAATTCTTTCATGTTCATAATAATTGTGGAAGGTTACGATGGTTTTCTTTCCTGATCAAAAAGTTTGGGTCATTTTGGTGGTTTTAAAATTTGAAGGAGGATGAATGAGCTTGGATGGCGTGAAACATGGCAATGAAGTTAAATCAAAAGAGAGGCGCCCATTCTCACTTGGCACACTGTGAACCAAGGAACTACGCATCCAATAATTTAATACTGAGAAAGTTGAGCTTTGCACTCAATTGAGCCAGCTATTCTTTGATAATACGCTAGACTGGAAGGTAGAAATATACAACCAAGCTTTTCTATCCAAATATAATATAAGCAGTCAATTGCATTAATTTACCATAGAACTGTAGGTGCCAGTGTAGCTAAATCCATGGAGCATTACCACAATTTATTATTTTAGTGATCATTTTTTTAATTTAGATATGTAACACGAGGGTTATAGCCTATTGGTTTATGAAAAGATAATATTTCCCCTAATTTAGTGACGATATCGTGGGATGGGTTAAGTGTGGCCCCATCAGGAATGGCAACAAGTTTGGTCTGGAGTCTAGACCAGGTCAACTCCAGCCTTACCTCAGCTTTGGTCCCTATAGGACCAAACCAAAGCGGCCACCGCCAAGGCTGTGACCCGGCTTTGGCCCTGTCCAAGCCAGGCCTGGCCTAATACACTCAAACAAAGAAAAAAGAGAAAAAATTATGGGAAAAAAGGGGGCCAGGCTCTGGTCCATGCCCGACCCAGGCCAACATTTAGACCGTGGTGACCTGAACCTTAAGTCATATTTTCTTGGTCCAGGTCCCTGTTAGTTAGAGTCAGGCCAAGTGGGTCCCCCAGCCCATTCCAATCTAGGCACCATTTAGGGCTCTCAAAGCTGAGCAAAACTGGTGTGCACCTTTATCTCAAAGGAAACTATGTTTATTGGGGGGCCAAATCCCACATTTGGTGGAACAAAAATTCTCTTAATGTGAGAACACGCTTTTGGGCTTCATGTCTCCATCTTCGTACATAAATGAGAAAACTCCATTAATATGGCTCCCCAAACAAAAGCTCCTCCTTTGGCTACTGTAGGGAGTTCATATACATATAAAAAAAAACAAAAAAACAAAAGCACATACAA